GCATAAATGTACTTGCTCAACAAGTGGTACATGCAAAGGTGTGTGCGAGGGGTGAGCAAGTGGATCTTTGTCGATTTAGAGACCATCATTACTTCCGTGGTGATGACATCTTACATATTAGTTTGAAGAATTGCATCAACTATACCACTTGGACGCCTGGACAAATCAATCATTAGCTCCTTTTGTTTGTAAGTGATTCTTACTTTTATTTAATAAACTCACTTCCATAAACGCGTGTATATAATTATCCTCACATGTAACTTATATTTATATACTGATTCCGGATGTCAAAGCTCCAAAGAATACAAGACAAAGTGTTGGCTTCATTGATCCTTATATCGTATTCAAAACCGTATTATTATCAAGGAGCGGTGGGTATCTGAAGCAGGAGAATATCATGATGTTCTTCGTGAAGCAGACACGACAAGACAACAATACTTTTCCGTACAACTTTGAGTAAGTGTTAATAATAATGTAGTCTACACATTTTATGTAATATCAATACAACTTATATGCATGTACGTGTGTATAAACCAATGCGTTTTCTTTGGATACTCATTGTCATTGAGTTAAACTCAAGTCGGTTAGTAATCTTTGACTCGTTGAGAAAAGAGCGGGCACTATAGCAAGATATGATAGACATTATTCAGGGGTAATTTCGATCTCTCGCGCACAACTATTATTGAATAGACTTTGCCATAATTTATTAACGATCGTACATTATTGGTCGCACAGGGTTTGGAAAGAGTTTATTCGGCAACATCGTAAGGATTGCAAGGCACCACTTAATGTAGTTGAAATACAAGTAAGTTGTACTATATACACTTCCCACGTGTTTAATTACTATATCGTACTTCAATTTACGTGTGAGATGATGAGAAAAATCTTCTTCTCAAATGCGTTGGTGGTGTTTGCGGCAAAGAAACAGGTAATAACAATGTGGATACTACGTTTGTGAATTTATCATCTGCAGCATATAAGAAGAACTCCTAAAGATGTCCGCATGAGTACGTATCTATCAATTTTTTATTTATTTTTAAATGAATATATATATATGTATTAATACTTTTCCTTTTATTTCAAATGCAAGACTGAATGGTTGAAACGAAGGGTCATGTAAAAAGACCATATGAAAGCAGTTCAAGAGTCAATAGCAGGATTTCTTCTAGAAAAAGTGTTAAATCCCAATGACGAGTTCTACTTTGATCCTAAGGAATAAATGGTGTAAATTAAATGTTTATTGATATCGTTATTTTCGAGAACAAGATTATGAAAGTGTTGTATATATACATATATATATATATATATAATATATAGGTTCATACTTTATTCGAATATAATAATGCTCGAGATGAGAATTAGATGTAATTATATGCATGCGTGTATTTATATTAGCAGCGTAGAATACGTACATAAAAACATATTATATATTAAACAAATACGTGTAACTGAACTAAAAATAAATTAAACAAAAAAAAGAAAAAGAAAAGGAACCTTTAGTCTCGGTTGGGGTTACCAACCAGGACTAAAGGTGCGGCCACGTTTGCTCGGCTGGAGGGCCTTTAGTCCCGGTTGGTGCCTCTTTAGTCCCGGCTCGATGACCCGGAACTAAAGGTGGCACCTTTAGTCCCGGGATTATTGTCCCAGCGTGGTAACCGGGACTAAAGACCGTTACCGCCCGGGACAACAAGTCCATTCTGTAGTAGTGCTAATGCCCCTCCTAGCCTCCATCCTCTCCGAGATCCCGCGTGGGATGCCACATTATCATGCCGCACCTCTCCCCATCCACATCGTCTCTCTCCGAGCAAGTGCTGGGATGGACGTGTTCCACGGCTGTCATCGTCAATGTCAAGAATATATGGTTACTATTATCCTACAATAACGTGCAGTTGTAGAACAAGGGTTGACCACGGTGGCGGTACTATGCTTGTTCCTTATTTCAGTTGTACAATAAGCATGTAATAGATGCGACTGTGTACGTCAAGAGCATTTGAAGGACAGGTCAAGCGTGTAGTTTAGGCCTGATGTTCTGTTTTACTTGTGCAATCAACAAAAAAAAGAATAGTAAGATGGCCAAATGTGATAGAGGGTGCACGTTGATCAGTGGAGGCAGAGATTTGTTTTGCTAGAAGTCGGCAGCGGTGCAGGTTCATTAGTTTGATGATATAGATCAGTTGCACAGGATTCCCAAGGGAAATATAATGGTAAAGCTAGCAAGCAGTACAACATACATTATTTTTAGAACATGCTTATGGACACCCTAGAAAAGCGGGAGTCTTCCCGTCCGACGGGTTGGACGGGAGTACTGTTGTACGATTGGGAGGGAGGGAGGGATACACACGGGGAGCATGCATGGTTCCTTCCACGGGAAAGAATCTTGCATACATGCGAGTAAAAACAAAACTGCCTACATCATCGCAGATGCAAACATTTTGAAACTAAAAATTACATAGATTACAAACCGTGTATCCAAATTAAATTATGATTTTACAATGGTGTTTCTTATAATAAACACTTCAAAACAAGATCTCACTTGGATGTATCTAGATAAAAAATTATTGAAGAGCATGGTTCCTTTCTCATGATTTTACCATTGTGTTTCTCGATATTCTATAGCATCCATGACATGTTACATAATGTATTTTAGTTGTTTATGTAGTATCCTTGAGATGTTCCACGACATATTTCAATTTTTTTTGTTTATGGTGCATTAAATTTTGTTTGCACGATATCTATGTTCTTGTCTTTTTTATTTTCCTCTAATAATTAAGTGGATTTTTTTATTTTCTTCTTCTTTTCACTTTTATTTATATTTTATTTTCCTTTTTTATTAATTTTTTTTCTATATGTTTTTTGTTATTTATTATTTTGTATTCTACTCTAATTTTTTTTCATTTTCAATGTTTTAAGTTTTTATTTACTGATATTCCATGAGATACATATATGATGCTCACATAGTATACATGTTAAGTTTCGTTATATATTTTTATTTCTTTACACTATATCCATAAAATGTTAATTACATGGTGTATTTGGGGATGTTCGTCTAGTATAAATGTATTGTTTCACTATGTATCTTTGATTATTCACATTGTACCCATTAAACGTTATGTGGTTTATTCTAGATTGTTCGAATAGCATTTATTTGATTTTACTTTTAACTTTCCTCTATTACATGACTTTTTCCATTTTATTGTTGTATTAGCTTTGATTTTTGTTTAAGTTAATTTATTTGTTTTATTCTTCCAATATATTTCCTGGCATTTTTTATTCAATTTTATTTCATTTTCTTATTTATTATACTCTTACTAATTATTTTCCTCTATTACATTTCTATTTTTAATTATTTCTGTTTTCCCTTATATCTTGTTTGTGATGTTTATGTAGTATACATATGATGTTCTATAATTTACTTTATGATGTTTATGTAGTGTACATGTGACATTCCATGATGTATTTTGTGATGTTCACGTAGTATACATGTGATGTTCTATAATTTATTGTGTAATGTCAAACTTAGTAAACATGTGATGGTCACATAGTATACATGTGATATTAACATAGTATACACATGATGTTATATGATGTATTTTTTATTTTCATGTAGTGTATATATGCGAAGTTTCACAATTGTCTTTGAGTACCCATGAGATGTTTTTTTTATATTTTAGATTGTTTAAATAGTATCACCATGTGATGTTCTTTTTAATTTTCCTCCGTTATGTGGATTTTTTTCCCATATGCTTTCTTTTATCTTTTATTATTATTATTTTTATTTAAGTTATATGTATATTTTCATACCTTTTGTTATTCATTTTTTTATTTTCATGGATATTATATTATTTAATATATTTCTATATATTTCATAACTTTTGTTGTTCTTTTTTCAGAGATATTATAATACTATACCGATTAGTTAGCTTATAATTGTTCTCCTAGATCTAGAATACCGTTCTCTTAAACCGAGAACATTTTCCTTATTAAGATGGTACATTGTTTTCTAAACATAGAGCATCACCTCTACTCAATAAAAATATATTATATCTTCATAAGATAAATGTACGTTAATAAAGTTTTGTCTAAATATATCAACGTGGGGTCTTGTTTTGAATGATTTATTGCAAGAAACACAATGATGTGATCAGAATTTAATTTGGATGCTCAGTTTACCTTTTACAATTCTTTTAGTTTCTTCAAAATCTATGACATCAGTCACATGCAAATTGCTACTTTATCCTGCGGCTTGGTGTCGAAGGTGGTCGACACGTGCCTGCATGCCACCTTGGTTGGCCCATATCAGCCCCACTAGAAAAGACCTCTTCGCAATATACTTGGAAAGAGTGCATTCAAGTTTCAGAAAAAAAGAAAGAGTGCATTATGTCTGTTTGCCAGAAATTTTGTCGATGTCCGGAAATTCTGATACCCAGAAATTCCAAGTGTTCTGTGCTCTATTTTCCAGGTCAGGGGTCTGTTGTGAGGACGAGAGCTAATTAGCCGGAAATTCTGATCGTGCATGAGGAAATTCCGCTACCCGAAAATTCTGACATTTTTCGTGGCATTTTCCAAGGAAGCTCCCGCTGGTGCCAGGGTTGCTAATTAGCCTGAAATTCTGGTGTTGTTGTGTTCTTCGGCCTCGGCTCCTGTTCTACAAAGAGACCAGAACCGGTACTTGCCTTGGTGGCTTCGCCTGAGCCCGATGAGTCTCTGTGGGTGGGCGTTAGAAGAATTAGCTTCGGCAATACCTAGCAGCGTATTTGTTTATAGAGAATTAAATAATTAACACACAAGATATAATAATTATATTGGTTCAGGCACGTGGTGCCCTACGTCTAATTTAAAGTGGCTTCACTCTGTGGGTGCATTTGTTTGGCCAGGCCACTGCGCCTGTGGGCTGTAACTTGGCCTTGTTTGTTTGGCTGGACGTGTTGGGAGCCCGGCCCGCACGGTGATTAAAGCACCCAAGATGCTGCACCCCAGGAAACGAGTTTTCCTTTTGTTTCTCACGGGCCAGGCTCGGCGTGAGCATGAGACGGCGCTGCCTTCACCTCCCTTACCGTCACCTCTTCGACCTCATCTTCTTCTCTCCTCAACGACGCCCCGCACAACCACCGTCGCAGCAGAAGAGGAGAGGCAGGCCGCCGGGGAGCGGGCGCCGCCGCCACGCAGGCCGCTGCGGGCGCGGGCGCCGCCGCCGCGCAGGTCGCCAGGATCCTGATGCTGGCCTGCGTCGGGGAGGAGTAGCTGCCGGTGAAGCCGAACTGGATGGGGCCGAGCGCGACGATGAGCGTGCAGAGGAAGGCGGATACGTGGGACTCGCGCAGGACGGCCATGGAGGAGGTGCCGGCGGCGTTGAGGCTGGACTGGGGCGACCCCATCCCCATCCGGTACCAGCTCCCGCTGTTGGGCAGTAGCGGCTTCTGCAGCGTGCCGTCGTGGTCACTGCCGCTCTCGTACTCGCCGCGCGGATGCCCTGTTGCTCGCCATGGCGCCGCGCGCGCTCGCCGCCTAGCTCGCAACGAGATTTGATTTGTTTCCTTTTCCTGGCTCCTGGGTGGGACTTTGGGAGGAGGACGACGCGAATGCCAGGAGACGAGCGGGGCGCGGTGGAGGCCGGCAGCGGCAGCTTGCTCCTGGGCGCGCTCAGCGGCGTCGTGGTCGTCGCACGCCAAGTGTTCGATGGAATGCCAATAAGGACAGCAGGAGAAGCTACGGTTACAGACAAACAAACAAGATCCTAGCCCAGCCAGGCCCTATTGCGTACAGGCAAATAAACATGGCTAGTTGCACCCTCTGGGCCTGTCTAGAGCTGGCCAGACCTGGCTGGTACACGTCGGCCACTTGGTGCAGGGAAACAGGCCCTATATTTATATGTAATACAGGGGCTGTGGCTTATAGCTAGAGATGAAAACAGTCGGAATATATCCAGTACCGTGCGTATCATTTTCTACATTTGACTTGCTTAAATTCATATTTTTTTTGTTAAATTCGAATTTGGTACGAAATACGAAATGTCCTTTAGGTTCTATTTATAAGGGAGGCGGAAGGAGACGATTTTCCTCTATCCGGTTACGTATAGTTCCTTAGACCAATTAAGCGCTAGACCAAAATTAGGCACAGCCACCCCTAGCCCAGCAAGTGCCTCGGCCAGTCTACATCTGTAAAAAAATATTCTGTCTCCATTAATCAATTTTTTTACTGTCAACAGGGGAAAGGCTCCCCACCTGAGATTTTTATTTCATTGATCTAGGCTCCTTAAAGGTAGCCCATCTTGTTTTAAAATTACATCACCTTTTCTGAAACTTATTTCAATTACATATCGAAACTAAGAATTGGCACCAAGCATCTGCTGTTGTGCTATCTTTCTTTAGTAGCCGTCTCTCCCATAGCTTAGCATCAGCTTCTATCAGTCGAACCGTCTGCCTGATTGTGGCTGCTTCCTCTATGAAAACAACGCCATTCCTTCGTTTCAAGAGGTGCCAGTAGCACAGGGCCATGAAAGTGCTGAAGTGTTGTTTTGGGAAGGCCGGCGGGCATTGGACGTTGATCAGACGGTCATCTGAATGCGTCTGGTTGCTGTGGAATCCCAGATTTTGCCAAAATTCTTGAGCAAATGGGCAGTCGAAGATAATTAATCCTTTTTTAGTAAAGTGATATATGTTACATTAAATTAGTTACAATCAGAGAAGCATGTGAATGCTAGAAAACAAACTTGCAACATGATAAAGCAAAACATAAGCACTGACTAGCCCTTAGGCATGTTAAAAGTATAGTCAAATTTTACTAAAACAATCATATTTTTTAGGTACAACAATGTAAATAGGATTCACCCGGATGTTTATAGAGCCATAGCTCATCACTAGATGTTGAGGTGTCATTCACCCGCCGTTGGGTCAGCAGAAGCTATATACGGCGCCCTGGACAAAAAATACCATGAACCGAATATCAAACCAACAATACAAAAACCGAAACAAAAATACCGAAACCGAAGTTTTCGATTCTTCGTTCGTTCCTAGTTCCCAGCAGGCGTGCCGCACCGCGCCGACGCCTCCATACCCCCGGCGGCGCCGGCGATCCCTGTGGCTGTGGCCTGGGCGCGTCCGCGGTCCGAGGACCGAGCCTCTGGGTGACCGACTATCGGAGTCTCGGACGGTCCACGGGCGGACCGCGGACGGCCGCTACGCGCTTCTCGCTAGGCGGCGGCGCGGCGAGAACGCGACGGCGAGTCGGTGACACCGCGACAGCACGTCAAGCGAGAGGGTCGCGGCCGCACCTTCTGCTGTGCTGTTCTTCTGCAGCCAGCAGGCGGCAGCGCCCCCACTTCCCCCCGGCCACCGCGCTCTCCAGGCTACGCCCCGACCTTGGCATCCTCGTCGCAGGCAGGAACCGGTAGGTGTCCGGGAGAGAGCAGCCTTTTCTGCTCAGGCTGAATCGATGCCACTCCTTACTTAGAGGTGCTGGCCCATTTTTATTTGATTTGCCAGGCAGAAAGGCGAGTCCTTTGCAGTGGCCAGTCTGAGTTCGACGCCCGCGAGGCCAGGCATACTGCTTCATACATCACAAGTTCACAACTCAAGGTGAGAACAGAATACAGAACAATACTTATCTACTTGTTCAATTTCGATTTTCAAATATTCGGTGAATATCAATGTTAGTAGTTCCTAACAAGTAATAATCGCATTGCAATTTGCAATATAGGAGGCTAGAATGGAAAGATAGAAAGATGTGTCGGAGAGTAGTGCTGGAACTCAAGAGAGCCGGACATTCATTAACACATGACCGCCACCGGCCACGTCACACGCTCCCTGAGCACGGCATGCCCCGGCCGCCCTACGCCCGCTCAGGCGGGGTTCCTCGCCACCGCCACCTTCTCCCACCTCTACCAGCTATGCGCCGGCGCCGGGCGCTCGGCCCTCGCCACGGGCCAGGCTGCGCACGCGCAGATGCTCGTGTCCGGGTTCGTGCCCACCACGTTCGTCTCCAACTGCCTCCTCCAGATGTATGCTCGGTGCGGGGGCGCCGCCCATGCACGCGGGGTGTTCGACGCGATGCCCCACCGGGACACAGTCTCGTGGAACACCATGCTCACGGCGTTCGCTCACGCGGGTGACACCGGCACGGCCGCGTCCCTCTTTGGTGCGATGCCGGATCCGGATGTTGTGTCCTGGAACGCGCTGCTCTCGGGCTACTGCCAGCGCGGCATGTTCTGGGACTCGGTGGGCCTGTCTATTGAGATGGCTCGCCGTGGTGTCGCCCCCGACAGGACGACGCTCGCTGTCCTGCTCAAGGCATGCGGTGGCTTGGACGACCTGGCGCTTGGTGTTCAGATCCATGCGCTGGCGGTGAAGACGGGCCTGGAGATGGATGTCCGAGCAGGGAGCGCTCTCGTCGACATGTATGGCAAGTGCAGGAGTTTGGAAGACGCGCTTCACTTCTTCCATGGAATGGGTGAGAGGAATACGGTCTCGTGGGGTGCGGCGATCGCTGGATGTGTTCAGAATGAGCAATACATGCGGGGGCTGGAACTGTTCGTGCAGATGCAGAGGTTGGGACTTGGGGTCAGCCAGCCAGCTTATGCCAGTGTCTTTAGATCCTGTGCAGCGATCACATGTCTGAGCACTGCTAGGCAGTTACATGCACATGCCATAAAGAATGAGTTTAGTTCTGACCGTGTTGTTGGGACAGCAATCGTGGACGTGTATGCGAAGGCTGATAGCTTGGTTGATGCTAGAAGGGCATTCTTTGGTTTGCTTAGCCATACTGTGGAGACATGCAATGCCATGATGGTGGGGCTTGTGCGCACAGGGCTAGGAGCTGAGGCCATGCAACTGTTTCAATTCATGACCAGGTCTGGTATTGGTTTTGATGTAGTTAGTTTGTCAGGTGTTTTCAGTGCTTGTGCTCAGGTTAAGGGGTACTTTCAAGGGTTGCAAGTCCACTGCTTAGCGATTAAATCAGGTTTTGATGTGGATGTTTGTATCAGAAATGCAATTCTGGATCTATATGGGAAGTGCAAAGCATTAGTAGAAGCATACCTTGTATTCCAGGAGATGGAGCAAAGAGATTCGGTGTCTTGGAACGCTATTATTGCAGCTCTCGAGCAAAATGAGTGTTATGAGGATACTATAGCTCATCTAAATGAAATGCTGCGCTCTGGTATGGAGCCTGATGATTTCACGTACGGTAGTGTTCTTAAGGCTTGTGCAGGTCTACAATCTTTGGAATATGGGTCGGTGGTTCATGGCAAAGCTATCAAGTCTGGACTTGGTTTAGATGCTTTTGTTTCAAGCACTGTTGTTGACATGTACTGCAAATGTGGCATGATCACAGAGGCTCAGAAACTTCATGACAGAATTGGGGGGCAAGAACTTGTTTCATGGAACTCTATCATATCAGGATTTTCACTCAACAAACAGAGTGAAGAAGCACAAAAGTTCTTCTCGGAGATGCTAGATATGGGTGTAAAGCCTGATCATTTTACTTATGCTACTGTTCTTGATACTTGTGCTAATCTGGCTACCATTGAGTTAGGGAAACAGATCCATGGTCAGATTATCAAACAGGAAATGCTTGGAGACGAATATATCTCTAGCACTCTTGTAGACATGTATGCCAAGTGTGGGAACATGCCAGACTCACTGCTAATGTTCGAGAAGGCGCAGAAACTGGATTTTGTATCATGGAACGCTATGATATGTGGCTATGCGCTCCATGGCCAGGGATTTGAAGCCCTAGAGATGTTTGAGAGGATGCAGAAAGCAAATGTTGTGCCAAACCATGCAACTTTTGTTGCAGTTCTGCGGGCGTGCAGCCATGTTGGTCTGCTAGATGATGGATGCCGGTATTTCCATCTGATGACTAGCCGCTACAAATTGGAACCTCAACTGGAACACTTCGCTTGCATGGTGGATATACTAGGACGCTCAAAGGGCCCACAGGAAGCCCTAAAATTTATCAGAAGCATGACTCTTGAAGCAGATGCTGTCATATGGAAGACTCTGCTAAGCATTTGCAAGATCCGTCAAGATGTTGAAGTGGCTGAAACTGCTGCTAGCAATGTTCTACGGCTAGATCCAGATGATTCATCAGTTTACATTCTTCTGTCTAATGTATACGCTGAATCAGGGAAATGGGTTGATGTTTCAAGGACTAGAAGGCTAATGAGGCAGGGAAGGCTGAAAAAGGAACCTGGTTGTAGCTGGATTGAGGTGCAATCCGAGATGCATGGTTTCCTTGTGGACGATAAGGTCCATCCCAGATCAAGGGAGGTGTATGAGATGTTGAATAATTTGATTTGTGAGATGAAACTCTCTGGATATGAGCCTGCATCAGCGTTGTTTGCTGAGGTTGATGAAGAGGGGAGCACATCTGAGCAAGATGACTTGGTTGGAGTCGTTGGTGATTAATCTGTTTTGTGTGAAGATGTCAATACCATTATGAAGCTTTGACCTTTCGTGTAAATTTGATAGATTACTCCAGCAGAGATAGTGATACTACATAGGACACTGAGGCAGAAACTCGAAAATTTCTACATGGGTATGTCATGTAAGCATATTCATGTTGATCTTAGGATGCATGGAACTGATGTCTGTTGGTGTGGAAGCAAGTCATGACTATGTCAGCATTTTTGGCATTATGAGGACTGACTCTACAAAATACACAAGCAAAAAAAAAAAAAGGCCAAACTGGCCACTTCTTGTTTTATTATATAATCTGATAGATAAGGCAGTTATGGTTCTTTCTACCATTTGTACTGATTCTGGCTTGTATACACTGAGTAAAATTGGCAGAAGTGTAGATGCAATTCCCCATTTCCTTTCACATCATCAAAAAATTGCTGGTTTGATTAAAAATACTATTGGTTCTCTGATTAGGTCGAGCAAGCTTATTGATTGTTTAGTAAATTCAGTGTCTTTCAAACAGTACCTTTAGATGCTATACTATGTCTTTTGCCCAAATGTTTGTGAAAAGGCGGTGCAATGTTCCTGACTTCCTGTGCTTGCCTGCCACCGCCCCTTGCATCTCAGGTCACTAATTTTGGGAGAATTTCATGATTAGATTCTAATGCCGCATGCTGTTCTCTTCAAGAACAAAGGAAGAATTATATGCTTGTTTCCACTATTTGATAATGACCACCTGTTTGTCCATTCTCTGTAATTGTTAAGCATTAAGCTCATTTGGTTTTTACATATTTTCATTCAAACTTTCTAACTTCAGTGTATTTTCATTTATTTCTAGCAGTGAATGTTCAGCCTGCTTGTGATAATGATATTGTTATTGCTTTGCTTTTACTTATACATGTAATTTCGAACTTCAAGGTTTCTATATTCAGCTCCTCGTGTGCATGACCTCAAACTCATTTATTTACATTTTAGTGTTTAGTGTATGCTCCATCTGGTACTTGTTTAAGTCTAAAAAGGAACTAGGAAGTCCAGTCTGCATATTATAAACTTGAAGTCTGAAATCTGAATGTGTCCATAAACCTCAACATTCATATCCATTAATTTGTTCATGTGCAGGCAACTTTGAGAAGGGCAGGCCTGGTGCAGTGGTGAGAGCTGTCTCACTGAGTCACCAGGTCGTGGGTTCGAAGCAGCCTCTCCGCAGATTTTGCGGGGGAAAGGCTTGTCTCGGTTTATCCCTTCGCCAGACCCCACTCATGTGGGAGCCTCCGGCACTGGGTCTGCCCTTTTTTTGCGGGCAACTTTGAAGACAAGCAGGGTTGCATCCTGCAATGTCAGCTCCCAACAGTGATAGAAACATGCAGCAGCTAGTCCCTATAGCACCACCAGGAAAGGCTTATAATGGTGAAAGTGGAAAGGAGCTGGTTGTGGTGGATCCTGCAGGAAAGAGTTCAGGAGGTGTAAAACTGCAAGAGGATGAGGAGGACCTGGAGGTGAAGCTCAGGCGCATCATGGAAAATGTCCCTGTGCGTGTCAGCAACACATCAGGGTCCTCTGCTGGCTCTGGCTCTGGTGATTTCCACCAGGTACTCTTCTTCTCTCCCTTCTTATGTGTGTAGATACAACAGTGGGGACTTTCCTTTAAGATCTGGGTTTGATGAAAAATTTCCCTGTTTCGTGTGGTATTTTCAGTTGCAGTAATCACCTCTTGCTTTATAACAGCTACATGCGATTTATTTGTCAATTAACATGTGAAAGGATGGATTATATTGCTAGGAATGGAAAATGTTAATAATTTATCGCCCCCTGAAAATTACCCGATTAAACTAATTAACCCTTTTGTTGCAAAATTCAGTGGTGTTAGAATTTCAGCTAATACTTTAGCATTAAAGACTTACAGTGGTTAGTTTATGCTATTGGGATGTTGAAAAATACTGATGCTGTGTTATTGAATTGACTTTAAAGTTTGTAGTACAACTTTGTAATACTTTCTATGGTCTAGACTATAATTCGTTTAATACATATGGACATTGTCTACAATGTGACACTTTTACTAGCAGTTTCTAATAGTATGGTATTTCGAACAAAAAGAGTTCAATAGTATGAAAAGTTGAACACACTTTCCTGATGGATATAGTAACATCGATCTTATGTTACTCATGTATGTGTGTTTTGTTTTGTACATTAATGGTCACATGTAAAAAAACTTAAACAACTTGCACTTCTGATTGGAATATATGCAAAAAAAAAGACATTTGGCAGAGATACTTTGTAACTAGTGCTACTTAGCAAGACAGGAAAAACGGGGTTATTCATTCTGGCATTATTTTTCTGCTTTAGAACTGAGCCTAAAATTGCCGTTTGCTGCACTCATTAGTCATTACGTAGTAGCCTTTTATTGTAGATTGAGCCCCTCTCTCTGCGCCGCGTTGGAACTTCTTTTAGATGCTGAATAATGTCATGGTCTTATTTCATCTGCTTTTATGATCATATATGTATTTCCCCACCCCTAAGTTACATACCAGGATATGGGATTGGCAAATCATGGAACTTATGGCCATGTCATGCCCTTATGTATTCTAAATCATCTTGTTTATTGAATTTTGTAATATGATTCATATTCCAATTTAGCAAATCACAGATTAAGTGATTTGAGGCATGAGAGTTACTATGGAAATGATCTAATTTGTAAGCACACTTCCTTTTACAGTACCGGCAAATGAGGAGGAGAGAGCAGGACCGGATAGCGCGAATGGATGCTGACTACCAGAAGAGAAAAGCGATGCCTGAGTTTGAACTGCGGAGGGAGGAGAGGCTGAAAGCAGCTGAGGAGCGGACAGCCAAGAAGCGCCTGAAATGGCAGAAGAAGTAGCAGCATAAGAAAGAGAAGCGAGCTAAAACTGGTAATAATGGTGGCGAAGAACCTAACAGAGTGGAGTCATCTGATGATGATAAAGGTTCGGATGACGATGACGAGTCTAAGCAATGACACGTTAATTACATTTGAAGATTTGAAGATGACTTCAGACTCTGGTTATCTGGGCAATGAACTAAAGCATCTATGCCTGTTGTAATTGGCCGAATCGGGTGCTATGTCTATAGGGAACATATCTAGTGCAAACCAACCTCTCCGTGCAAACCAACTGCGGGGGAGAGGTGGGAGGGGGGATTTGCAAAAGTGTAATTACGCCCGCTCCTAATTACACTTTTGCAAATCTCCCCTCCCACCTCTCCCCCGCAGTTGGTTTGCACTGAGAGATTGGTTTGCACTTGATACATTGCCATGTCTATAAGAGGATATGATATTTTGAGCAGAGATGGAGAGCACTAGATAATTTCCTGTGTGTTCATCATTCAGAGAATTGGATCAGTAGCTTTTGCACAGCTCTGTATGCTTCTATCAGCTGCCTTTTTTCGGATCCATGTTACCATGTGCTTCAACAGACAAAATGAAGTACCTAATGTCTTAAGCTAGTTTAATTGTGTCCTTTTCTTTTGTAGAAATATAGTTCAGTATTTGAAATCTCCTGCTGGATAAGTCATGTCTTCTGCCATTGGTCAAGAGAGGCTGCTTTCAAGCAACGTCCGTCTTCACCGCGCGCTACCCTGCCATGAAATTATGCATATGCTTATGTGACGACTTTTTCTATCGGCTGTTCGGTCAGTACATCATTCAGCAACTGTACGCTCAGGTTTGTTACGGGAAATCAACTTCGTTAATTGAATGGCTTTATCTCGAACAATTGTGGATATTTGGGGAAACAGCCCACTTCGTCTCACCCCCGCGTCGCCCCTCCCACGTGGGCGACTCGGGTGGCCCGACCACAGCCGCCGCCCCCCTCCCCTCTCCTCCCCTCCCCTGCCGCGCCGCCACCGGAGCAGGCCGCCGGCAAGGCCGTGCTGGCGGCGGTGGGGACTCTCATCCTTGCGCCTTGGCAGAGCAGCGGCGCAGGCTGCAGCGGGCTGGCTGGGCGCAACCTCGCCTGAGCCGCGTGGGGCTCGGGGGAGCCGCCTGGCCGCGGCCACGGCAGCGCCGGCCGGAGCCTAGGCAGGCGCTCGATGGTGGCGGCGGCGGGATCTCCTTCCCCTCCGCCATCCCCTTCCTCCTCGTATGGCACCGCCGGCGGCGACGTTCTGGCCCGCTCTTGGGCCTGGGCGGCTAGATCCGGTGCACTGGAAGCCGGATCCGGTGACCCATGGCTGGGGGCGGCGGCGCCAGCTTGGGGCACCGGGTTCTCTGCCCTAGTGGCTGGATCCAATGCCCTTTGGGCTGGGGGCGACGTCCACCGTGGTGGGGCACTCGCGACCGGCAGCATCGGCTGCGAGTACTAGAGCCGGCGACGTTGTTCAGCAACGAGCTTCGGTGTGCGGCAGTGTGACGTGCTCGGCAAGGTAAGCCCGATCCCATGTTGCCCGGCCAGAGGAGGTGGCGGCCGACGCAGCTATGCGGCTGCTGCGTGCAGCCGGCGCGTCGATGCCTCTCTGGAAGGGTTTCATTGGGATGGCGTGGCAGTGACGACGGTGGCGACAACAGGATAGGGTCCGGGTCTTGGTCGGACGTTTGTGCTGGGGAACCCTTTGGGCGAAAGCCTTGATGACGGCGATGTCTGTGGGCGGCGCATCCCCTGCTAAGGGCGTCGTGTTCCCCAGCACTGCCTTCCACGGGTGAAAACCCGGTCCATCTTGGACGAGCGACGGTGGCGTTCTCGACGTCATGCCCTTCTTGAAGGCGTCGCTGATTGGATCTCGTCTCAACCACGACGTTGCCTTTGGTTGATGCTCTTAGCTTCTCGGCGCCCGGTCTATGTGTGGAGGGAGGACTTGCAGCGTGAAGTCGGAACTGTTGCGTCAAGGGATGTGGCTCGGCAACGATGAGATGAGGCGAACCACCCCCTCTTTCTTCTACTGGGAGGCTTTCAAGGTGTGGCAAATGCCGGGGGCGGGGCGGAGGGTCAAGATAGGAAGTCGGAGCTACTCTTTGTTTTGAGCTTGGCAACAATGACCTGTTGCGGCCTCTCGCTTTGGGCCATCTTTTTTCTTCATTAGGTTCGTCTGTGTCTGCCTTGAGAAGTCGGAGCTGCTGGTTGCTTTGTAACCACGCTCGGCAATGATGACTCATGACAATTTTGTTTCCCTTCCGCGTCGCGTGGGTGGGTCAGCCATTCGTGTGGCGTGTGTTGGCACCACGCTTGGCTACCCTTGTACGTAATTTTCTTTCGTCTTAATTGAGCGGCAGAGCTCCTGCCTTTGTTTCAAAAAAAATATGGATATTTGGCAATAAAACAACTATTTGTTAATGCAACTAGCTAATCCATCTGAATTTATAGCTGAGCTGTAAGTACTGACGCCTATTAAGAGTGAAGACACTGAAGAAAACCATCCACGACAGGTGAAACACCTTCTGAATTTTCTCGTCTGTCCAATATCGCAGGCATCGACACGAAGGCAGAAGGATCCACATCGAGTGTGAAAGAAGGTGAAACGCCTTCTGAATTTTCTCGTCTGTCCAATATCGCAGCTGATCGATTCGCTGATCTCAACTATTGTGTCTGATTAGCAGGTGAAACAAAAGCTTGAATTCAAACGAAGAGATCACTGGTTTTGCCGCTACTCGATTGAAGATTACACGTTTTATGAGAAAACGACGTTTCCCACTGTTACCTGCTTGTACTGGTTTCAGTAGAAATACCCAAAAAAAACATTGCTCAGTTTTTTTTTTTCCGAGAGGAAACATTGCTCAGTTAGTTGAAATGAGAATGACACTGACACAAGGGATGCACGCAGCACACGGCACACGGGCCGCATCGGTGCGGCGGTAGGGACCTCATGACCGACGGCTGGCGCGAGGATGGTTAGGATCTCAGGATCCGGCCCACGGGCCACGGAGGGTTGTTGGGCTATGGGCCTGGCACTGTGGAGCACGGGACATGGGCTGGCGTCGATCGTTACGAGGGCCCACTGCTGCATGTGTATTGAAATAAGGAATAAATCATTTAACCTCTCCAGTGGCTTTAGTTAATGTGGCGCGTTTGCTCAAAAAAAAAAAAGTTAATGTGGCACCACGTTAGCCATGATGCATGGAGGTAGGTCAGACGACTATGATAGTTTAGTTTGGGAGGTCAAATATAATTTATTAAATGATTATAAAACAAAGCGTTCTTTTTGAAGAAGTTATGTCATTTAAAATGTCAAAAAAAATATGTGGCTAAACGATACTTATCTTGTCATGGAAATCACTTGACCTCTGCGTTATAGTTCCTGTTAAATCTGACAGATTAGATTTACATCCAAGCAGACTATAAATAGTAGGCATCGCCAAAATCAAAGACACGACAGATTACATAAGGAGCAAAAGGACCGAATCAAGCCCACCACGAATCAGATCAAGAGGAAATCAAAAGAGCGCAATGAGTTGAATCGAGGGGCATGTTTGGATGCTGCCTCCTAGGCAGCTCAAACGCCCGGCAGCGTCCCCAGGCGTTCGATTTCGATCGCCTGGGGCTACGATCGCTTGCCTGGCAGGCAAGTCCAGGCGAGGGCGGCATCCAAACACGCCCCAAATCACGTCTGCCAGTCTGAAACCGCAGGCTCCTCCGGTCAACTACCTAGCAAAGGCAAAACAAATACACACACTGGAATCTAAGATCCGTGCATCTGATTGAGATGTTCGTGCTTATATAAATTATAATAAACAATAACATGGACCAATAATAACTTGGAAGGCAGCAGAAGCTGATCAAGAGAGAATCCAAGATAAAGTCTCCATTCTGAAGAAGCAAAATAAAAAAATACAGGAAAGCACCGGAACAAAAGTACATCATATCTGATCGAATTAAAGCATGGAATGGACATCAAGTCTCCATTCTCATGAGTCACGATAGACTGATTCGGTTGGCTTCGTTGGCAGCCACTCGGAGGCGTCATCTTCGGCATTACCGTCCACGTCGCACGGGGTTCTCTCTGTCTTTCTTTGCTGGCGAGTGGAACTGTGGAGGGCGGCGAAGAGAGGGGCGGAGTCGACGGGTGGACTGGAGACTTGGAGAGGGCCGGTCGGCGGACCGGGGGCGGGGGTGGCAGCTGGAATGGGAAGAGAAAACGAAACCTAGGTTACAGCACAGAGCGCGCGCGCGCGCACACACGTAGTGTGTGTCTATATATATATATATATATATTTCACAATTCACACGTGGGCTATAACACTGAGAACTCGAACGGATTCAAAATTTAAATTTTAAAATTTCTAGTTACTATTCATAGTACTATTTAAATTCAGCGTTCACTATTTAAACTCACGGCTATTATTCAAATTCGTGATATGAACAGTGCACGAGCACTCACCCGGGTGGCTCAGGCACACAACCCCTTTACTATTTAAAGCACTATGCGACGTAACTATTTGGAGCACTTGTTTCGCTTTATGGATGCAGGATGCCTGAGTGATTAGTTATGCGTGCGATTAGTGAATATGCGGATTAATATTTCTCAGGATCTTTTGCAGACTTGCGAGACCAATAGTTCAGTCGGTCGTGTGATTATACTTGTGACAGTCATACTCCTACTCGGTACTCACCGTATGCATCACTAGCTCGCTTCAGAACCAGGCTAATCCGGTCTTCTCCCTTGCTATCCCTAGCCACGCACACACAGGACTCAGGCTCTATCGTCTCCCGAGGCAATTTCACCCAAAGGGAACACTTATCTGCGCACACAGAGTTCTCTACAAATGCCGCTACCAGGGCTAACACGAGAACAACACACGCAGAGGTTTCTCCTCTAGGGTCCCTAGCATAGAGACATCGTCCCATATGAACGAGCTTAAAGGAAGGCATGGATTAAAACAGGAAAGCTTAATTCATTTTCATAGAGCAAGCT